GGAGAGGGCGAGAGCCAATGGCGTGCTGTGTTGGGTCGGAAAGGGGCGGGGCTCGCTCATCTCTTCCTGCGGCAGGTTCGTTTGTGGTCGGCGTGCCAGTGCTCCTGCTGACACTTGATGGAGCAGTACGAGGTGTTCCAGCAGCAGTGGTACATGGCCTCCTCCTCGCAGTTATAACACTGAAACAGCACAAAGCTTTACGCTCAACAACATACACTAACGCTGAGTCAGCACTACAAGTATCAATACATTCACATTAAATCAGCGGAAAGGCCGAGAGGAACTCCGCTACAGCACAAACAACAAGCAACCTGTTGTAACCGTTATAGTTACACAAATGATGAACTGTGAGCAGATTATTTCCTGTGAATATTGATCACAGATGAGTTTTCTTGATATTTTAGGAACATTTTATACAATTCTCTGTCTGTGTAATGTTTTGAATGCATCCTTAATGATTTCAAATCCTTCTTTATTGACAATCTCAGTGATTTCTTCTCATTGTTCTATCAGCTCTGTGGATGTTTGAACTTTTCCAATGCAGGATGAGGCTGTTTGTCAGACAGTAAGGTCTGTGGGTACAGCTCGTTTTCAGGTCTTCACTTTTTTTGGCCATTTATAGTGAACCATCGCACTTCACGTACGCCAGCACAAACTACTGTATTTTCCAGATGACAGAACCATTTTAAAACTTGCGATTGAATAAAAGCCTCTGCTTTCAGCTCATGAAATAATAAAGTTTTAGTTAAAAACATTCAAACCTCAGCTGCAGATAAAACCTGGTTACAGATTTGTCCAGAACTCACCCACTGCTTCTTCTTGGTTTGGGAGATGAGCTGTTTGTGTTGGGCCACCAGCTTCTTCACCTCCTCCACCAGCTCCTCTTTACACTTCTCCTTCACTTGCTTACACTTCCTCTCCATCTCCCCCTGAGCGCTGGCCACCGCCTTACTCACCGCCTGCCGCTTCTCCTCCTCCATCTCGGCCCGGAGCTGAGGGGACAGAACAGACGGGACACGCTGGGTTTTTAACTCAAACTCTCAACAAGACACCGACGTTTCCAATCTTCTGCGCTTCAACGCACCTTCTCCAGAGCCTCCCTGACCACCCTCTCCGTCTCCCTCTTGTTGTCCGCCTTCATCATCTCCTTGACGTCGTTGAAGACCTTCGTGTACTTCTCGTGGCACATGTTCTGGCAGGCGCCGTCGCTGTTGGTCTGTGTGCCGCGGTGCAGCGTGCGTGGCGACCCTCCGTTGGCCTTCTTGGTCTGCGTGGAAACCGACAGCTTCTCCGGCTGCTGCGGCGCCGAGGACACCGGGATCTCCTGGCTGGAGCTGACCGCCTCCATCTCTGGCTCCGGGTCCTGGCGGGGAGGAGAGGATGGGACACGCTGTAGGTTTTAAGGGTTTGAGATTTTTTATCAACACACAGAACACGAGTTAACAGCAGTAGAAAACCAGCGGGGACGATATGGGCTAGAGTTCTTCATCATCACATTTTTCCATCACTGTGTAATGAAATAATTCTACTGTTTTACAAAGTGGGGTCCTTGAGTTGGTTGTATAATATTAAATATTTCATATATATCTCACATTTTTTTGTTGGAAGTTGGAACAAGGGAAGAAATCCGGTTGGTTGCTTTGATTAACTGTCATTTATTGTGATTCTAGTTTGATAATTTGATCATTGATTGATTGACTTTAGAAGATTCCTTAAGACCAAATCCTCTCAAATTGGGGGTCAGTGACCTGAATAAATGGTGTAAAATGGATGGCTGTATTAAACAATGAAAAATGGTTAATTCATTGAAGTTCCTGCTGACGGTAGCTAGTTCTTTTGTAAGGAAGCTTAATTGAATGATTTTTAAGCCCTTCCTTAGCTTCCAGGAAACAAAACATTTGGACTCATTATCGGTCTCAACATTTCCCTGAAACTTGGCCTGAAGCTGGTGTAGTAATATTAAATAGAAAACAAGCAAGCTGAGCGCCAACTTTCAGTTTTTAGGTTTAACACTGGTAACATTTAATCTTATAACCAAGATTTAAGCCCCAATACTGTGTTTGAGTCCAACAGCAGTAACAGAGAGCAGAAATGTTTTACATGAATGAATGTAACACACTCAAAGTTTTGTTTTTCTAATAACCTAAAAAGTATCTATAATATCTGTACAAATATCCTTTCTTATATATCTGCAATGAGCTAATATCAACCAAGATAGACAGTAAATGTATCAGTTATAACAGTCAGTGTGACCGCAGGGTGATTTCTGTAGTCTAACTTACACTGACTTCTTCTTTGGGCTCGACCATTTGAGATCGACGACTTTTCTTAGCCTTGGGCTCCTGGCTGCCTTTGAGCTGGGAAAAAGATAAAAAAAGAGTTTATATAAGTTATTACAAAATAAACTTTTGGTAAATTAACACCAACACCAAGTTGTTTCTTTCAGTGTAGACTGAGAAAGTGTGTCTGTGGGGAAAAACAGTTCCAAAAGCTATTAATTATGTGTTTTATCACTTTTGTACACTGACGAAAGTCTTCAGACTCTTGAGAAAATTCATCTTAAATCCATTAACCAGGAAGAGTAGAAAATAAGACTGAAAGGAAAACCATAAAGAGCATCACAATGTCTTTTTGATCCAAACTGAATAATGAATCATTTTAAATGCCAGTACCATGTTGTACTAACAACGTTCAGCCACCAGATGGCACTATTTGCTGTATTTATCCTTACAGTATTTCAGTTTGTGTCATTTTAATGTAAATATATTTCACCTGGTGACTTTGTTGTCTTTGTACTGCTCTTTTATTTTCTTATTTTTCCATTCTACCCCTTCTGTCTGAACCCGTTGGGTTGGTGTTTGTCCGCAGCATGCGGTGGATTCATGTTAATATTGACAGATGTGATAGGGAGGTACAATCAAAGAGGAACCCTCAGAGGAAGTTTGGTGTTAACAAGACTCACAAATAAAGGCGTGAATGTTCAATGTGTTGTGACAGTGAGAGATGCTGTTTGTTGTCGTGGTAGCTGTTTGACTTGTCTGTGAACATTAGCTGCGGAGAACAAAACAAAGTCAAGATGACAGAAAGACGAGAATAAACTAGGCAGCAAGAGCTTGACGAAACAAACTTCACAGAGCACATTTCATGCACAAAGGAAAATGTCACATAAATAAAGAGAGAGCCTGATTACAACCACTCACTGTCACTTTCAGATCCAGCAGGAAGGAACCAGAAATGTCTGACCAGTGCAAGATGACCTGAGAGCTTTTTAACACATCTAACCGGAGCAATTTGGTGCTTCTGAAAGTGAGAGTCAGGTGTGGGAGACTTCTGGATGAGCTGAAACTGTTCCAGTCTTCTGTAAAGACCTGGTAGCTTTGACAAGAACCCTCTGTCTGTCTGTCTGTCCTCAAATTAATTCTTCTACATTCATCAGATAATGGTGCTACCTCATACACTTCCTGAAGGCATTTCACAAGTGTAGCTGACTCGTCACTTGGTTTAGGAAGACAGTTTTAACATGGCAAATTGCATACCTTAAATTGTTATTACATCTCTGATGAAACCTAACGTACTGGAGTAAAACAACGAGGACTCCTGGCCCATGAGGTTGAGTGGTTGAATGCAGGTCTAACTTCCAGTGCAGTGGGACGTCTCTGCGCTGTGCAGAGGGACGTGATCACAGCTGCTCGTTGCAGTTTATTGCTGCTGTATGAGTTGCATTTAAACTCCAGATACAAAGACCCAGTTCTGTCACATGTATCAGCACATTCAGCATGATGCATCTTGTCATTTGTACACTGAAAAGAACAAAACAATCTCGATTTAAAGAAGCAGCCATCGACTGAACTGACCCCACTTACATGTCGGACCTGCTCGTTGCTGGTGGAGGAGATGCTGGACTCGGCTTCGTCTGTCCGCTCCAGCCTGTCCGTCCTCCCGCTGCCCTCCTGCTGCTGCTGCTGCCGCTGGCTCTGGTTCTGGTTCTGGTTCTGGTTCTGGCTCTGACTCTGGCTCTGACTCTGACTCTGACTCTGACTCTGACTCTGGTTCTGACTCTGGTTCTGACTCTGGTTCTGCTGGAGATGCTGGTGTGGCATGTTGGCGTCCTCCATCTTTGTTTTCCAGAAGCGTCCTTCCCTAAGGAAGCGCTGGTACACCTCCAGCTCCTCGCACGCCTTCTTCCAGCCGTTGCTGCGCTTCACCTGCAGCTGCTGGACGCTCACCTTGATGTCCTGGATGTTGTCCGCGGGGATCCAAGCTCTGGGGAAGACAAGGTACATTGTACAATTACTGGTTTTGTCAGTGGAATCTGGTGGCATCCATTTGTTTTGATCTGACATACCGGTGCTCCAGTGCTACATTTAGTGCAACCGCTTTATGAACGGTGTGCACACCTGTGAGAACAGTAACAGTCCTCATTGAGAAGAATAACAAACTAACGATGTCTTGTAGTAATAAGTAACACAAACTGCTGCTATGAGAAGTGACGCAGTGTGTTGTGACGTCTGCCAGCTGTGCTAACCTCTGGTGCTGGTGGCCAAAGAAGCGTACGTCCACCTGGTTGTCCTCCCTCTGAAGGACTTTGGCCGGCCAGTAGCCAAATCCTTTCATCTTGGCCCACACCAAGTCGTGGTTGGGGCTCTGCCGAGGTAACACACACACAAAAAGAAACCTAATAGACCAAAGATACGACCCAGCAGTGTATTTGTAACCAATAGTGACACTGGGCTGACATGGGCTGGGCTTATCTGCCACTCCAGAATAGCTTTAATCCATTAAATTATCAGTTTTGTGACATTAATATTAAATAGAATTATAATTGTATCTTACAACTGCTACCAATAATAACAGTAGTATAAAAGTAATGCTTCTGCTGAAACAAAAACATTGAAAAGATAAAACTATGTGTTGCTGCATCTGTTACAAAATACAGTCTGACCCAGGGGGCGCCGTAGTTGGGCCTGATGGAGCGGGTTTGGTACTCACACAGGGATAACAGAACCAGTTGTCTGGCCGGGCGTTCGACAGGTAGAAACAGTTCTTACACAACAATAACTCATTCAACTGGAGGAGACAAGAAGGATGAAGAGAGAAGGAATGAGGGAACAAAAGAGGGAGAAGGGTAAGAAAAGAAAAGTTCAGTGTTAAACTTTAATTTAAAATTAAAAGGAGACATACACCAACAAGCTCTTAACATTAAAACTAAACTACGTTTTAATTCACTGAAGTACCTCATGGCATGTGTCGCTGAAGAGCAGCCGTGCAATCTCTGCCTGGTCACTGTGAACTGCAACAAACAGAAGAACACTCAGCAGGTATTACACATTATCCAGATTGTAACTGCCATCTCTTAAAACCAATAACACAAATTACTTTCCATCTTGTTTTCCAGATAATGGAGATAAATCTGGTATAAAATGACAATAGGGAGGATTTCATTCATTGTTGTCCAGGTGATAACAGTAACAGCCACAGCAGAGTGGGTTCATTATAATAAACAGAAGCTCTGCATAGGCCAGTTCAGCAGTTATACACTGCACAGGGAAAATGTGTCAAATCATGAGAAATAGAGGAGAACTGAAGGGAGAAGTGACCCCGGGAGGAAACCGGGAAAGGGAGGGTTGGTAAGTGTGCAACTAACTGATATTACTGTATCAGCACTACTAAATTTCAATGCTAAATGCAAAAGAAACCACAGTCAACTAGAGCCCCAGGGTCTCAACATTAATCTAACTACAGTCAGTGATTGATTTATTGAGAAAATAGTCGACAGATTACTCAATACAAATGATAATTAGTTTGCAGCCCTGCACTCATATATATTATATGTGTGTACGACTTTGACCTACCTCCATACAAGATGGCGGTGTTGTGAACAATCAGCTGAGCGTCTGCTTTGAACTCCTCAAAGGTTTTATATTTTCCTTCAGTCAAGTTCTGAGAGAGAGAGAGAGAGAGAGAGAGAGAGAGAAAGAGAGAGAGAAGAGAGAGAGAGAGGAAGAGAGAGAGAGAGAGAGAAGAGAGGAGAGAGAAAGTGAGTTGATGAAGTGATGAGTGAGTGAGTGAGTGAGTGAGTGAGTAGTGAGAGGAGAGAGAGAGAAGAGAGAGAGAGAGAGAGAGAGAGAGAGAGGAGGTAGTAAGTGTGTTGTCAGAAAAGAGAGGGTGAGGGAGAGTAACAAAGGAGACATATTCACATGCGTTTGTTGTGACGCAACATAAGGGTCCAGGAGAGCAGTGTATTATTACAACACACCAGCACAGCACACTACACACACCACACCAGGTCTGGGCAGTGCTCCAGTGGTCTGGCAGAGGCTGGGTGTGATGCACACTTGACCACAGCACAGCAGAGTCCTGTCTGAACCTCTCACTCTCAACACACTCTCACCACAGCACTCACACACACTCACACACACTCCCACAAACTCACACACACTCCACCACTCACACACCTCACACACTCATA